GGTGAGAAAGCCAGTGAGAGAAGCCGTGCTTTTCCTCTTTTAGTTCTTCCTGAGTTACAACTACACCAGGGACCACTGTTCCCTAGACAGCCTTCTCAGTACACCTTCAAAAACACCTGTGAGTCAGGGAAGAGTCTCACAGTGGGCAGAGGGACTGATATTTCATGTGGGGCTACCACACAGGAAGAGGCCATTCTTGTTCTGCAAAAGGTGGAAATGGTTTTTGGTTCCATATTTAAAAAAAAAAAATCCACACCCTCAAAACACAGAGCAATTTGACAAAAGCTCAAGCTACAGTGGTGGGGAGAGAGTTTCCTGCTGAAAGAGCTATCCAAGTAAGACTGCAGTTGAGGGAAGGAAGGTGGTACTGCAAAATCCCTGCAGCCCTCAAATGCAGGCTCCAGGAAACTCCTCTTGGCAACACCCAAGGTTTTGGAGACTTGTTTTCTAAAAAATGAGTGCATTTTTCAATCTAGGGTTGAAAATTTCTTTCTGCACAGTCAGGTAATTCTTAAAAACAGGCCATCTAGGGACACATGTGGAAGAGAGAGGAAGTGTCCTGAGAACAGAAATTTTAATTAAAAAAAAAAAAAAAAGACGAAGCAGCAGCTTAAACATGCAGCAAAGGTACCAAAATCTTAGCCCATGCGGAGGATGAGGAAAGAGAGTCAGGTTTTAACTAGAATTAATTCTGCCTATAGGGGTGTCATATCTCCTTTTTACCTTACTCTTTAAATGTACAGCTTATTTGAAAATAACTAACTAAAAATCAAAGTGCTTTAGTTAGTGTTATAATTTTTGTTTCATTTCCTAAGCACAGATTTGACTCAGACAGTATGACTATTAAAAACTACAAATCTTTTACCCAGTGCTGTGGTTTGGAAAAAAACACGCATACATAAGTGTCACTTCTGCAGAGGGATATTTCAGTATTTGGACTCCCTTGATAGTAATCACGAGGCGAGACCCTGCCTCACACTGGTCAGGCCCAACCTAATCCCCACCACATTCTCCTTGCTCGCTTCTTGGGAGTCAAGTCCAAATTCCTGGTTTCTGTCCTGCACTGTCAAGGGCCCTGTGGCCTAGGGCAGGTGGCTTTCCCTTTCTGAGTCCAAGGGTCTTTTCTCTATAAAATGATAGCTTCAGACAGAAATGGACCCACTAAGGGCTGTTACTGGTCATGATGTGAACCAAGGCCTTGGTGGACCAAAAGCAGGATCGAGAAACTTGTTGATGGTTCCATCAGAGAACAAAATAAGGCCATGGGTTTAACCCACTCACTAAAACATCAATGTTTCACCCACCTGGAAAATGCAGGCTACAAAAGGAATAAGAAAAGCCAGAATATTTCCAATTTCTTCATGTGCAACCTAAAAGAAATAAGAGGAACACAAGAAAAGGAGTGTTTAGAAGAAAGGGAACACTATGACATGAAACATTTTACTCTTCATTGGGTCTGGATGGTTGACAGTACAAAATCCTGAGCTCAGTGAGAAACAGGTCCTTGTTCACATACCAGAACAGAGGGTGACATGAAATCCTTCTGAAAGGCCTGGTCACACAGGGCGCCCTCCTGTCCCCCGACCCTGCCACCTCTCAAAATCCTACTCATCTGTCAGTGCTAAGCTTTCTCTAATTCCTCCCACCCCCAGGTACTGCCACCTCCTTAGTGATGTCACCACATTCTGCTTTGAGCCCCAAAGTGTGGACTGTGTCTTAACCAACAAGCACTTGTTCCAGTTCTTGGTAAGTATGTGCTTATGGGTAATCACAAATGATATGGGTGGGACCCACACCACACACTGGCCTAAAATGGGCTGTGGAAACAGGCAGTCACCACTCACAGCACAAGCCTGCTGCCAGTCTCCAGCCAGCTCGCTCTCCGTAAGCCCCAACCTCAGCCGCACTTCAGACTTTAATCAGTGCTCGCAGGAGTGTGAGCATTATGACTCCATTTTTAAAAGTAACATCTATCTGTTCATGTTCATAATGGTTCTATACTTTTTCTTTAAGTGTTTGAAATACTTCAAAATTTAAAAATACTATTTAAAAAGCACTGATACAGAAGGTTGCTTTGAGATGAGCAGGTTGGCAAATCAACTTCGTAATGATATGGTTCTTTTGACCAAGACACCGGAAGGCTGGTATTTGCATGACATAAATCAGAGTATGAGATAAGTCTTCCTGGGGGAAAAAGAGCCTGAATCTTAAAGTCTGAGAGTCAAACTCTCGCCCTGGATGAACAATCCAGCCGCTGGAGGGACTCCTGGGGTCTCTGGGACCACAGGGTGGCCTAATATCCTCTTGGCAAGTAGTCCATTTCTCACCAATATCCCAGCAGGCCCCTTTGGCTTCTTAGGAAAGTAGACACAAAAAAGCACGTTTCTTATTTGTTCAACTTACTACAAAGACTAAAATTAGAAATAAAAATTTTACTTGAATTTTTAAAATTGAGTGCATAGTAACCTTATAAAGAATACATATTTATTTCTTCCATCATGTGTCTTTCAGCTTAAACTGTCTAGAAGAGATTACCTGTAAAGAATGTTCTGCGAGGTGAATTCCACGAATGAGGTTCAGAGCAGCGCACATGATGTTGAGGATAAGGGAGAGGACACCCAGGGCCGTCACCGGTTCCATTCGGAAATTAGGAGCTTCAAATGAAAAAAAAAAAAAGACGTATCTAGTGAAAATAATTTCTATATGAAAGAAAAATAAACAACGACAATAACTAGCCCTCCACTAACGATAGGCTTATTATGTTAAACACGCAATTACAAACATACTAATTTTAAAAGCAGCTGTAGTTAGAGGAGGGAAGAGGCAAGAAATGAAGGACAGAATGGATTTGGGGATCCGAGGTGACTTTCTTCCAGAAAGAGGCCCTTCTCTGGGCAAGCACAGGTCTTTCAAGTGCTTCATTTCCTTCCTATTTAAAGCAGTGGTTCTCAGCCTGAGACGATGTGGCCCCTCCATGGACATTTGGTAATATCTAGAGACATTCTGGGTTGTCCCCACTGGGCCACGAATGCTTCTAAACATCCTGCAATGCACAAGACAGCCCCCACAACAAAGAAGTACCCAGTACAAAATGTCAACAGGGCTTAGGTCAAGAAATCCTGATTTAAAGCAATTTAGGGCTTTAGTTGTAAATTGCTTGTCAAATTCTGAAACATTTCTATTACACACCTCAACCCTCAGCTTGTAAAATGTTCCACTCTTTTTCTGACAAGGACAATAGTCGGTGTCACATTGCTTCTAGAGCAATTGACAGCAAATGCAATCTTCTAAGTTCCAAAATAATTGGGAAGAGGAGGGAAACATTGATTATTTCAGCTATAAGCTGTTTCTGGAACTCTTAATTAGAACAAATGATCACCCTCTCTTTAAAGATAACTCTGAACTTGATTCTGGTTCACTCAGTTAAATGGTATCCCCCCTATTCTCTTGCTTTGCTCTGTCTAAGTCATCCTTTCTGGCCTTACATTTCCCACATACGCATACACACACACGAATGTCTAGCCACAACCCAACTGATGCCTACTGTTAGTGTGTTAGAGTTTCCACTGAGCAATTCAAAGTTCCTGTTAGAACAGAACACGCTACCTGTAAAGATTCTAGCCTCAGGAGAATAGGGGGAGTCAAACCACAGTAAAACGTCCTAGAAAGACAGGCAAGGTGACACTTTCTGGATTTGCTACATAGTTAAAAAACAAAACAGAAATCACAAAGTTACCCTGTCTTCAGATATGGCAAAGGAGAAGCTTGGGGCTCAATTACCCAGTCTTCCACAAAAGTTAATTTCAATCCCAATGTAAATTATAACAACTAACTGAATGGCATAAAAACCAGTCCAGGAATTTACTAGTTGAAATAAGTCAAGTCAAAACACAAAGTTAAGCCAAAAATGTCAACATTTTTAATACATCACTTTTAAAATTCAAGTAGTGAGTTTAGTATAAAACTGTTAAAACAAAGTAATTATTAGACTGTTATAGTGTAGACAGCTCTGCCTTCAGAGAAGGATGCAGCTCTTTACACCATTATAGAATTCTTAGAATGTAAATATCCACCTTAATCAGACACTGGTTTAACCGTGTGTAATTATAAACAAGGAATGCAAAAAAGCATGCTTTGTTACGTGCTGGGCATTGAGGAGTGACCAGTGTTACCGCCAGACTAAGTCACTGTGAGCATGTTCATTAACACCGTATTCATCAGAGGAGGACTCGGAAATGCAAAGCTATAGAGGGATGTCCCCAGGTCGCACAGAGAACCAGGCAATGAGAGCTCTAGAAGCCCTGGCTCTGGCCCCTGCCCACTGGCATCCCCAGAGCCCCGCTCCTCCTTCAAGAAGGGCAGGGGTTTCTCCCTGGAGATTTGCAATGTTTCCTAAATGATGAGATAAGGACTTACTGTCAAAGGGAAAAGGAGGAATATGTACAAATCTGTACAGTTCAGTAAAGGGACTTCCAGCAAAAGAGAATGAAAACCTCCTTTATAACATTTAAACATGCAGATTTCACCCTGGTTAAGAAAAACACCCTGCCAAGTCATTCTTGTTTTGCATCTCATCAGAAGGGCTGCCTCTCCTCAGATCAACTCACCATCACAACAGTCAAGCTTTTTATTACCACCTGGAAACAAGATCAGTCCACGTTTTCCCCCACATACTTTATATGCTGCCCCCCGGGCCCCAAACCCCTCCTAGTAAAACAATCAATGTGCACGTGAAACACACACTATCACCTCATCTTCATCAACATTAAAGAGCAGCAGGCCACTTACCGGGCTCCAAGGGCACCCGTGGGTGACCGTTCACCACCCCGTTAGCCACATCTGTGTCCTCCAAAGAGAGAACCACCGGGGGCTGGAACCTAAGTTCCTCCTGAATTCTCTCTAAGCTGCTCTCCATCTGGGTGGAACTTACATAGTTAAAATGCCACTTCACTTTCTGAATGATGCCGTCTGCAAAGAGAGAGCAGCCCAAGCTGAGTGTTTTCATCACAGTAATGGTATAAGACAGTACGTGCACAGTGAGGTTTACGTTTCTAGGCAAGCTAGTAAGTCAGCCAGACCCTGAATCAGAGTGCTGAGCTCTACACAGAGATCAAATGATTACGGCACCCTGTGACCAGTCTCATCAACCTTTCAGAGGAGAATAATTAAAATGTGACAGTCTGTCTGTCAGAATCTCAGTGCCAAGGCAGTCAGGGACAGGGGCTTGAGTCCTAGCTCAGACATGACTCATAGTACAATCCGAGGCTATTCACAGAATATTTCTAAGCTTGAAAAATCTAGACAGTTATTCTTAACCTGATTATCTCAAAAAAAGGTGTCTGAGAAGAAAGAAATTACAAATGAATGTGAGTAAGTTGTACAAACCAGGATCATACATTTGAAAGGCATTGGTTTTAACTCTTTTATTTACATTAGTATTAATCCATTACCAAGTTTAATAAATATTTTAAATGAAGTTTCATACACACTGGTGAAGCAAAATCATTTATAATTCTAGTATCCACATACTTTTACTTATATTCTACTCTCACTGAATAACAAGTAAATGTGATGCTGGGAAGGGGTTCCTGTCATACCACCCCCACCACTTTGGAAGGAAGGCACATGCAGAGATGAGGGGAGAGAAAAACACAGGTCCACCAGCTGCCAATCAAATGACAGCCAGGGGATGTTGCAGCTGTCGTCTGCCTGGGGATAGCCTGCTCTCTTTGGGAGAAGTGGGGCTTGAGAGCAGCTCTGGACTAGGGAGACCCAGTGCAGAACTCATGGTCTACGTCACAGGTGTACTGGAGGGGTGGGGAGAGATGTACCAGGGAGTTCCCAGTACCTTCAAGTGACATCAAAGAGGGTGCTGGCCCCATCCCTAATGGGCCAGCCATAGACTGCATGAGGGGATGTGAACAGCAGCTCCCAGGAGGCATAAGTGGTGGGCCCTGCACCTGATCCTTAGTACCAAACGCTGCCAGCCCCTCATTCAAGAGCATCCCAGGGACCATGGCAACTTACTCCAAGACCAGAGAGTGGCCCCCAATTCCCACCTCAGCTCCTGCCCTCCAAGAGCTCAAAATGACTGGAATCACACCTGAGAGGAACAATGCAAACGCTATAATTGTCACACTGGGTTCCAAAGCCCTGAGCCTCTACACGGCCTCTCTGGCAGGGCCCAGAAAAGGAGTGTCCTCTTCCAGAGCAGTGCTTCTCAAAGCTCTGAGCACAGGACCAGTTTTTTTTCTTATTTCCAAATGGTTGTAGGTGGATATTTTGGTAAAATATCATTTAAAAAAATCCCCAGAGTGTCAAACTACTGTAAGAATTTCTAAGCACTTATTCTCGCTTCCTGTACATCCCTCACGCTGGGAGAATGAGTCTGCATACCATCCCTGAGCAACACTGCTTGAGAGCAAGGGTTCGGGTTGGTAAACTGTTCTCCAAGTGCCAGAGAGTCAATGTTTTAGGCTTCTAGGCCCCAGATGGTCTCTGTCACAACTGCTCACCTCCGCCAGGGAAGGGCAAAAAACAGCCTGAAATAAAATGAACACAGCTGTGTTCTACTTTATTTACAAAAACGGGCCCTCAGCTCACAGTTTGCTGACCTTTGCTCCAGAATAACCAATACATGTTTTGCCATTCCTCCCACCCTGCCCCTAGGCTCTGGAGAGATGAAAAGCCAGAGTGTTGAACCTCTAAGCTTTCAGGCTATCTTTGTTGCTATGAAATCTCATGGTACAAGGCTGTTCTCCAGTGACACATTACTGCCCCTCCAGTGGTTTTCCCTGATGGTCAAAGCCAAATCCAAAATGTAAATTCTACATACACAATGCCATAAGAGAGAACAATAAATACGAAAGAAGATTACAAACCGAATTCGAGAAAGGCGTACGGCCTGGAGGCTAGGCCAATGCAGGTGGTGTCATAGGAAGCTGTGAATTCCCACCATAAGGTCTCCAGGAAGCAGAAGGCCATGGCTGCCGGACACTGGCGGTGGCAGATAGCCATGCAGGCCACATCTCTCGAAGAAGAGAAACTGGAACAAAAAGGTGCCATCTACATCATCAGGGAACAGACCCTGGTACTCACATTCCAGACCCGGACACCACCTTGCTTAATTAACTCTGAGCTTGCTGGGCCTTGAACAGTCCTGTAGCTGTTTGTTGCACATACACCGTCTCTTCAGCTAGACCTGCCCAGGACTGTGCCTTTCCTACCCTCCCTCTAAGATGCACAGCAGTGTGAGCCGCTGACAACATGTGGTCACTCTTATTTATGCATGAGGGATGCATGCTCCATTTGGGGGAAGTAGCCTCAGGCCTCTCTGCATCTACTGAGGAAAATGCTTTTTTCCTTCCTTAATCTCCGTCAATAGAGTTTCTAACGTTACATCATCCTGGTGTCCTGAAATAAAACCTTCTTGGTTGTGAGTGCCTACATACTCGAATACATACAACTGTTGGATTTACTTTACTATTTTAAATAGGATTTTTGTGTCTATGCCAAGAAAGAGTGGCCTATAATTTTCTTTACTTGTACTGTCTTCATCTCATTGTGGTCTTAAGGTGATTTTGGTCTCATAAAATGAATGCAGGGATTTTTTTCTTTCTTCTTTTTCTTCTCTTTTTCAGACTGTCATGCCATCATTTCAAGCTCTGGGGACTCTAGGCCTCCAGTCTGCGGGGTCTACCCCTAACTATAAAACTGTGGAATCTCTCTGCTAGTGTTCTATCATTTTGGGCTGTGAGCTATCTCTGTGTAGCTTCTTTTTCCTCCCTGTCAGAATCCCTCAGACCTGAGAGAGGCACACGTTCTCCAGAGCGGTTGTGCGTTTGCTCTGGCCAGCTAACCCACAGTGTCGTCAACCTGGAACCAATACTGATACTTGAATCCAGGCCTGGGAATTCCTAGATCATGGGGAATATAAACTCCAACTTCAATCTTACACAATGCACAGGAGCAGGGTTTCGGTTTCTTCAGTGAAATTTCATTTTTCCTTCTTATCCAGAGCCAAGTAGAGATGAGTCACCCCCGTGTTGGTAGGCAATTTCTCCCCTACCATTATTCCACTAGGGCTATAGCCTGGCAAGGATCCCTCATTTACACAGGGGTCTGTTCTGACACCTCACCCTGCGAGCCTGGGGCCTCCCCTTTCTTGAGTGCTGAAACTCAAGCCCAACTTTACTATGACAGCAGGCCCAAGAGCCCAGCACCAGCTCTCACACTCACCACCATGATACCCTGGTCCCTCTTCAATTCTGGCACCTTGGGATTTCTTTCAAGCTCAGTGACACATTTAATATAATTTTTTATATTTATTTATCCACATTTCTGGGTGTTTCTGGCAGGAGGGTTTTTAGGTTATACCGATCTACCATCTTTTTGTAGTTGGCAGTTTCTATATAAAAACTTTTTTAATTAAAAAAAAGACAAAAAATTTTAAATAAAAGAATGATTGCCCCCTTATATAAAACTTTCCAAAAGGGCCGACGTCTCTCTAGGATGAAGGTGTTTCTATGAAAGAGGACCCCTATTTGTGGGGTGAACTGTGTTCCCCAAAAAGATACACTGGAGTTTTAACTCCCAGTACCTGTGAATACGACCTTATCTGGAAACAGGTTTTGCAGATGCAATCAAGATAAAATGAGGTCATGATGCATTAGGGTGGGCCTTCACCCAATGACTGGTGTGAAATATGATCACAGAGACAGAGGGAAAAGGCCAAGTAACAAAGGAGGCAGAGACTGGAGTAATGACACTAGTGACAAGGATGCTGGCCACCACCAGAAGGTCACAGAGGCTTGGGAAGGAGTCCTCCTTAGAGCCTCAGAGAGCACGGCCCTGTCAACACCCTGGTATCATACTTCTGGCCTCCAGAACTGCGAGAGAAAATATTTCTGTCATTTTAAGGTAGTTTGTGGTATTTGTTATGGTGGCCCTAGGAAAATAACTTGACTCCGTAGCTATAAAACAGGCGGTGGTGCTGCTCACCTGCAAGGACAAAAGCCCCAGTTTCCTCTGTGGAAATAATGGTGACTATTTAAGTACAAGTACAGATGGGTGCAACATTTTACATTCTACTTTCAAAAAATAACTGAAGTACCCAGAATTTCACTTGAAGTCATAGGCTTTTTTTTCTTCCTTAACAGAGAAAAGTTTCCTATTAGAGGTGCAGACCAAAGTTCACACCAGAAGGATAACCCCAGAATGATGAGGGAGGGGCCACTGAGGAAGGCGGATTCGGTGCTTCCAGAGAAAGGAGTGGCAAACATGAGCAGATGCAGCTCCGTCTTTGCTCCTGGGCACCCAGAGCCCACAGCTCAGGGTGACAGCTGCACATGCCTGCCACCTGGTACCCTCTTCAGGTCATGGTCCTTCCAGTCTGACAGCACCACCAAGCCTGGAGTCAGGCCTGGACCCTTCCTTTTGTTTTTCCAATTCTGAGACTGAACTCCCCTAGAAAGAGTAGTCAGGTCAACCCATAATTTACTATTCAAGGGGAGCAAAAGTGACTTGGTAACCAAAGGCCTAAATTCTGGAAAGCCATGATGTAAAATCTGTGACAAGCCTTTTTGATATTTCAAAACCTGCCTTGCCCTGATCCCTCCACAGACTGGCTTCTTGCTCTAAACCCTGGAAAAAGAAATGGCATAACACACAAGGAACAGACCATGGTGCCCAGCTGCCTGAATTCAAATCCTAGCCCTACCCCAAGGTATCCTGACCCTGTAAAGGTAGCATAATCATTTGTTTTGTAAATAAGGAATTGGGAGAATGGCCGTACAAGTTTTTTACTATCTCTTTTCATCAGTGAAACTGACCTTCCCACAAAGAGGTGAGAGCAATACAAGGTGAGAAGATCCTATGGTGTTTGATGTATTTAATCTATAAAATAAATAATTGAATCTTAAGGGATAGTATAGCTTTTAATGGGTTAATAATTTTGGTTGTGGTGGCCTCAGTGCATAAAATAAGCTCCAAGTGATTAAAATTTAGACCACCTATTCAAAATGCTTTTACACTTATTGATCCAATACACTGATTAATAGAACAAGGTACTCTAGGGATAATAGCTTAATTCAAATTCACAGTTCATTTCAACATTAGAGTTTATAGCCTCACAACTGGATCAGAATATCCCAGTGCTGTAACTGTAAATGGTGTGTTCAGTTATTAAAGTTCTATGAGATGTGAGTTTTTTAAAAAAATCCTGACCCTACTACTTACCACCAGTGTGACCTTAGGTAAGCTGCCTACCCTCAGTGTCCTGCTCTGTCAAACAGGTATAACACTCTACCTGCCTCATCAGCCACATGAAGCACTTAGAATAGTGCCTGACACGTGGAAAACACTCAATAATAATAGCTTTTATTACGACGGTTATCGTGACCACTTGATTCCTACTTCCACTGGAGCACTTGCCCCTTGTATTACTTCAGTTATACATTTCTCTCGCCCCCTCATCAACTTTGAGACCCTTGAAAAGATGGACCTACTTGTGCTCATTTTTCACTCTTATACTCCTGTCACATAAAAACTTTTTAATTAGAAAAAATTTTTAAGTGAAAAAACTAAAAAGCAAAAACTGAAGTCATTTTCTTGGCTTCCTCACTGCCGTCCTTTACCTTTCCTGACATTTTAATCTAGTCTCTCCTCCCTCCTCACCGTTTTTCCACCCCTGCATCAAATGCAGAGAAAACTACCAAACTAAAGGCATGAAGAGTGTGTGAGCCGGGCCTCGCGATGCTCACAGGCGCTATGCTCACAGGAGGTGGGAGCTGGGGCAGCAGAACTTGAGCCCCTTTGATGCTATTGTTGTAAACACGCCCGACCTCAGACTGCTACCTGTGTCAGACCTGCTTGTAACACACAGTGTGATCAGCACAATGTCACCTCAACATGTGGTTATGAGTAACCCAAATTATGCAGGTGCTCTGGAAGGTTGAACACACTTGCTTACTGAATATTGAAGTCACGTCCTTCTGCAGAACCTCGACCTGGATACTGGGCCAGTCGCAAGGCTAAAGTCTTGAGCCGTCTCCTGCATTCCAGAAAATCCTGGGTGTGGTAAAAGTCAGTGGAGGCTGACAGAGGCAGTCCATCCCTCACCCTTACCACACAGGCGAAAAGGATCATGGACATGGTCCACGAGACGAGTCATGAGGACACCTGAGGGAGGCAAGGTCACCTTGTTACTGCGGGCCGGATGATGGTGCCAGGGAGACCCCCGCCCTAGAAACGGCCACTCTGGACTGTGCCACCCTCACCCCCACCACAAATGCAAGTGTGGCTTTAATTATGATTTCCCTACCCTCTACTATTATGTCACTCCCAGTTTTCCTTCCTTCATTATCCTCCCTGTCTCTTCCTCACTTGTAGTCCTCCTCTTCCTCCTCTCTAAGGAATCCCTCCATTTCCAGAATTAGTAAACCAACTGGGTGAGGAAACAGAGACGCAAGGAAGCAGGACCAGAAGGGCTCAGGAGCAATAGCAGGGACAGTGGGTAACAGGAGGCAGGGAGCAAGACGGCCTCAAAGAGACAGGAAGAGCCTGACCCTGAGGCAGCAGAGATGGTGTCCAGTGACCTGTGCATTTCAGGTCACCTATCAAGGTAGGTACTGAGCAGCGTACTTGCCACTCCCTCACCTGCAGTGGAGGGTTCTGAGCATTTAACTTAAAGCCGGCGGCAAGGAGAGCAGAAGGCAAAAATGAAACAGAGGGTGTAGCATATCCTCCCAAACTTCTGCAAATGTCTGACACCGAGCCAGTCTCCAACATGATGACTGAGTTCCCACAGATGGCTGCAGGAATACAGGGCAAAACCTGCACATCTGCACATGACAGACCTGCAACAAGGGGCAAGTGAGGTAGCTATCACAGCTCTAATGGGCCTTTCCGTGACCCACACATCCTGCCTCACAGACCCTGTTGTCAAGTCCTCTACTAGATAGGATATAAACAGGTACGTATACTGGTGGACTTTCTTTCCAAAGAACCCTGGGGACATAATCTGGCATCGCAGTTCCCATGAGCAGTGGGAAACGGGAGCCCCAGGGTGCACACTGCTCTCTGCCTCTGTGTGTTCTCGCCCAGTCTGCATCCTCAGATCTCCCCATGGCCAAGTCCACATCAAGGACCGTCTCCAATACACCCCACCAGAAGTACTTCCATCTCCTCTAAATCCCCAGAGCACCCACCCCTCTGTTCTCTATTTCACTGATGATCATTTCCACCACCTAAGTGTCAGTTCTAAGAATAAAGACCATATCTGGAATGGATGAATGGGTAATTACTGACATTTTACACATGAAGAAACTGCAGTGGTATAAAAGCAAGAGGAGGTAAAAAGAAAAATTAGTCTACCAGGCCACAGACCCTCCACAGCTCATCTGTCCCATCTCCCCACACTCTCCACTGAGGAGTCAAAATCCGAAAAGTCTCAGGAAAAATACCTCTGCACACAAAACTGCTACATTCCCAGCACCACTGGCAAGGCCAGGTCAACAGGAAGAAGACCCTTCAGGCTGTACTCTAGCTGCCTGGCCAGTGTGGAGACTTAGAGCACCAGAAAGGGCATCAGAGGACAAGTGTATGGAGGCTAACTGCATTATCACCTATACTTTCATGAATGTTTGACATATATAATTTAGAGAAATTTTTTTAAGGAGGGTACAGAGTTCTGACAGAGATAAGGAAAGACTACAAGATCAACCTGAGACCAGGGCTTGGGGTCTAAACAGGAACTTCAACTTGCCTGCCACCGTGAGAACAGTGTTACAGCGTGAATGGAAGTTGCAGCCATCCTATGATGCGTGCAGAGAAGTGTTTAAGAACACTTCTAACAGAGATGGTTCTAAGAACACTACCTGCTAAAAATAAATATATAAATGATTTCAACAAGAGCCCTTGGCCAAGACATAAAGACATGGAGGCAAAGAGTGAGAGAGAAAGACCAGAGAAGGCGGGGCAACAAATCAATGAGATACCAAGAAAGTCAGAGACAGGATAGAAACACCCCAAGCAAGGTTCTTTTTCGGGTGCTGAGTAAGCTGTATGCTCTTCTATGGAAAGCAGTACGCATTTATTCCAACTGTCAACCCCAAATATCCTCTCTAGTGCAGTCTTTATGGAGCACCTGCTGTGTGCCAGGTATCGTGTTAAACTAGTAAGAAGAAAACAGTGACCCTTCCAAGTGACAGCAATCACAGGAACCAGTTCGACCACTCTCTAAAGGACCCAAAGTCCCCTCCAAGCTTTCTACTTGAACCATTTTATTCTTTTGGTGATCAAATCTGTTTCTCCTCAAACAGCAGCATTCAAGATAAAAACTGTATCAGTTCTATCGAGTTACTAGTACTGCAAACTAGTGAAACCTACAATCATTTTATAAAAATATTTTAAAATATTTGCAATGCTTAGATGAAGGTGACACTGAGCTATGAACTGTTACATGCATATGTGTATCCGTGTGAGTGTGTGCACGCACAGGCTGGCAGTAGCCTGAGAGGTGGCGGGATCTTACCTGCTGCTGTGGAAGTCTAAGAACAGAGACCACACCCCCTCAACAGTTCTTCCCTTTGTGAAAATGCACTTTGTATTCCAAAAGATGAAAAAAATTTGATACTAGTAGGGAGAGGCTCATCCTTGTGTTCCCCACAATGCCTGGTAAGGGCTTTACACACTGCAGGGATTTGATGTTTGTGAATTCAGGTTATGCACCAGTATGAGACAGTCTGGACTTAAATAAGAGATCTGACCACTGCTCAAAAAAGAATGGCCTGGAGTCTCTGCTTCTGGAAAGGTGAGGCTGAAGCACTTTTTCCTACTCCCACTAAATACAACTACAAGCCATGGGCATTATACATGAAACAAACATAAGAAGTCTCTGGAAGGCAAAGAGAAGAAGGCAGACTGGCAGGGACCTTGGGACCTGAGGAATGAAACGCTGTGAGTTCCCAAGGTTTTCTTTTTGCTTCATATATCCCAGTCTTGGCGCTGGAGAAGCTGACAACCTGGAAATACCAATGGGCATAGGGAAAAAAAAAAACCCAACAACAACAACGAACAGCTGTGTCTCTCTGGCCAAACAACCAGGAAAGGTACAACCCAGCAAAACAGAAAACTCTTAGACAAAAATGTTCAACTCCAGCCAAACACCACAGAAAAAAGCTGCAGTTATTACATACCCACCAGCAAAGGCTGAGAAAAGCCTTGACTTCTACTCTTACCTGGTGGTAAAGAGGTGCCCCATCCTCAACTCCCAACCCTCCTGGGGTAATGTCAGAGAAGACCAAGTGGGGAGCTACAGGCGCTATAGGCAATGAGCCAACATCTCCTGCTGCACCACCGGGGAGAAGGAATCCCCATCTCTGCCCAGGAATAATGAGCAGCCCCTGCCTTTCAGGGAGTCAAAAGAGGCCACATGGCAGTAGTGAGATAGAACCCCCACTTCTGCTGCTAGCACAGTGTCAGCAAGGGCCAATTAAAACAAAAGATTTAAATAAGAGACAGAGTCTCATAATATAATGCCCAAAGTGCCCAGGTTTCAACAGAAAATCACTGGCCACAGTAAGAATCAGGAAAATCTCAACTTGAGTAAGAAGAAACAATTAACTGATGCCAACATCAAAACGACACAGATGACAGAATTAGCTGGCAGATTTTAAATCAGCCATCATAAACATGTTTCAATGAACAATTACAAACAGACTTGAAACAAATTAAAAACTGATTCTCAACAAAGAAATGGAAGATATAAAGAACCAAAGATATAAAGAACCAAATGGAGTTTTAGAATTAAAAATACATTAACTGATATAAAAAACTCAATGGATGAGCTCAACAGTAAAATGGAAGGGACAGAAGGATGAATCAGTAAACTTGAAGACAGAACATAAAAATTACCTAATTTGAACAATCTGAGAGAAACTAGATTGAACTGTGCAGAGCTTCACTGTGGGACTTTAACAAATGATCCATTTATGTCACTGGAGTCCTGGAGGAGAGCAGAGGGCAGGACTAAAAAGGTATTCAAAGAAATAATGTCAAAACTTCCCAAATCTGGCAAAATTCATAAGCCAATAGATTCAAAAAGCAGAATAAATCCCAGAAAGGGTAAACCCAAAGAAATCCATGCCAACACACGTAACAGTCAAACTTAAGAAAACTAAAGACAGAAAAAAAATCTTGAAAGCAGCAAGAAACAATACCTTGCCTATGGAAGAAAAACAATTCAAATGACAGCAAATTTCTCATAGAAATCATGGAGGCCAAAAGGAAGAGCTAAAAGAGAAGAACTGCCAACCCAGGATTCTGTATTTTCAGCAGAAGTATCCTTCAAGAATGAAGGCAAAATGAAAACATACTCAGATGAAGAAACCCTGAAAGAATATGTTGCCAGCACACCTGCTCTAAAAGAATGGCTAAAGGAGGCTCACTAAACAGGGAGACAAAAAAAAAAAAGATAAAAGAGGGAATTTTGGAACATCAGCAAGGAAGAAAAAACAACAGAACTCCAGAAATTTTTCTTAAGTTTTTCCCAGAAAACATGGGAAAAACCCAATAGACTACCCTTCACTTTATGAATTTATAAATCTATGATGATTGAAGCAATAATTATCACATGTTTGATGTGGTTCTCAATGTATATAAAGGAAATACAAGACAATTATAAATGGGAGAGGGTACAGAAATGGAAATAGGTAGTTTCTACATTTTACTTGAAATGGTAAAATATGGAGACCAGGAGACTATAAGATACACACACACACACACACACACACAAATACATGTATGTATATGTCTATACACTGGAGTAACCACTGAAAAGGCTACATGAAGATATACATTCAAAAACACTATAAATAAAATAAAAACGGAATTCTTAAAAATGTCTGAATTACTCACAGGAATGCAGGGAAATGAAAATAATTTTAAAAATCAGAATAAACAGAAAACAAAGAATATAAGAGCAGACTTAAACCCTGATATATCAATGATTACATTAAATGGTCTAAATATACAATTAAAGACAGAAAAGAAAAGAATGGATAAAACACATGACCCAATTATACACTTTCTACAAGAAACTTCAAATTTTAAAATACAGACAGCTTGAAAGTAAATAACTAGAAAAAAATATACCATGTAAACATTAATCACAAGAAAGAGTGAATTATATTAATATCAGACAAAGTAGACTTCAGAGCAAAGGAAATTTCCATGGATGGAAAGAGAAGAACATTACATAGTGATAAAAGAATAAATCTCCCAAGAGGACATAAAAATAAATGTGTATGTGCCAAAAAACAGAGATCTAAAATATGCAAAGTAAAACTAATAAAGTGAAAGGAGAAACAGACAAATCCTCCACAGTTACAGTTGAAGACTTCAACATCCCTCTCTCAAAACTGACAGAACTAGAGAGAAAATCATCAAAGATACAGATCTCAACAAACTATCAACCAAAGTGTGTAATCAACATTTATAGAACATTGTCCAACAACAGAATTCCTTTCAAGCAGCCATAAAACAATTCTCAACAAATTTAAAAGAATTCATACAGAGTACATTCTGTGATCACAATGTAGTCAAAATGGAAATTAGTAACAGAATGGTAATGCAAACCTCCAAATATTTAAAAATTAAACAACACACTTTTAAATAGTCCATGGGTCAAAAAGGAAGTCTCAAAGGAAATTTAAAAATATAATGAACCTAATGAAAAGAAAAATATCAAAATTTGTGGGACACAGTTAAAGCAGTGCTGAGAGGGAAACTTACAGCACTACATGCTAACATTAGAAAAGAGGAAAAGTCTCAAAACAGTAATTTAAGCTTACATGTCAAGAAACTAGAAAAAGAGAAGCAGAAACAAATAAACAAGGCAGGCAGGATAATACAGTAGAAATCAATGAAAACAGAAAAGCAATAGAGAAAATCAATGAAATAAAATGTTGGTCCTTTGAAAAGATAAATAAAATTGACAAACCTCTACCAAAAGTGACAAAGGAAAATATGAGAGAAGAGACAAATTACCATTATCAAGAATGAAACAGGGGATATCACTACAGACATTAAAAGAATCATATGGGAATGCTACAAACAACCCTACATATACACATCTGACAACATAGGTGAAATGGCTCAATTCCTCAAAAAGCACAAACTACCACAATTCACCCAATATGAAATAGGTAATTTAAATAGTCTGTAACTAAATTTCCTACTAAGAAAATTTCATTTGTAATTTTAAAACTTGTGAAAAGGAAATATCCAGGCTCAGATGGTTTCACTGGAGAATTCTACCAAACATTTAAGAAAGAATTAACATCAATTTTGCACAATCTCTTTCCAAAAAAAGAGAAGAGGAAGGAACAATTCCAAATTTATTTTATGAAGCTAATATTACCCTGATATCAAAACTAGACAAAGACAGTAGAAAAACAGAAAATTATAGACCAATACCCCTCCTGAATTTACATGCAAAAATCCTTAACAAAATATTAGCAACTAAAATTCAGTGATATAATAAAAAGAATTAGGCACCATAACCAAGTGGGATTTATCCCAGGATGCAAGGCTGGCTTAATGTTCAACAATCTATCAATATAATCCATCATATTAAAGTGCTAAATAGGAAAAGTCACACAATTATGTCAATTAATGCAGAAAGGACATGTGACAAAATTCAACACCCATTCATGATAAAACTCTTAGCAAAATAGGAACAGCGGAGAACTTTCTCAACCTGATAAAGAGCATCTACAAAAAGCCTACAACCATCATACTTAAGGGTAAAAGACTGAATTCTTTCTCTTCAAAGTCAGGGACAAAGATGTCTGCTCTCACGTATACTACTATTAAACACAGTACTGGATGTTCTACCCAGTGCATTAAGGCAAGAAACTGAAATAAAAGGCATAAATAGGAAAGGAAGAAACAAAATTACTCTTACCTGCAGATGACATAATTGTCTACATGGAAAATTCCAAAGAGTCTACAAAAAGTCTAAAATGAATGAGTTTAATAAGGTTGTAGAATATAAGATCAATATACAAAAATCAATTGTTTTTCTACATGCCAGCAACAAACACATAGAAGCCAAAATTAAACATAAAAATAACATTTATAATCATCTAAAAAAATGACCTCAATAAACCTATATTCTTCAAAATGCAATAATTAGGTGTAAACTAACAAAACATGTATAGGAGCTGTATGCTGAAAACTACAAAACACTGCTGAAAGAAATCAAAGAAGTCCTAAATAAATGAGGAGATATACCATGTTTATGGATCGGAAGACTGAACATAGTAAAGATGTCATTTCTTCCCCAAAGTGACATACGGGTTTAATACAATTCCTGTAAAAATATCAGTAAGATAGTTTGTAGATTATTCTAAAATTTATATGGAAAGGCAAAGAAACAAACAGTTAAAGCAAGTTTGAAAAACAATAAAGTGGATGGAACCATGCTATCCTATTTCAAGACTTACCATATAGCTACAATAACCAAGATTGTGTGGTATAGACACTCAGATCAACGAAACAGATTGGAGAACCCAGAAACAAACCTACACAAGGACAGCTGAATGATTTTTGACAATGGTGCAAAAGCAATAAAATGGAAGGATAGTCTCTTCAACAAATGGTGCTTAAGCAGTGAACATAAGAAAGCAAGCAAGCAAGCAAGTAAGCAAGCAAGCAGGCAGGAAAGATAGAAAGGAAGAAGGAAAGAAAGGAGGGAGGGAGGGACAGAAGGAGGGAACTAATAAAAAAAAAGTTTTACAACTGATAAAAACGTTTCCACACTGTCTACTTGTGCACCCTTCCATAGCTCAGCTAGTAGAGCGGAAAACTGCAGAGGTAATGACCCTCTACTTGGACAGGAAAAGAGGTTTAAATAAATGAAAAATTTTAAAAACAGAAACTGAAGTAGTAATCAAATACAGCATCCTAGTTACCATCAGATTTTATTAAAATTATATTTTAATCTGCCTCCCTCATTTCCTAAATCCTCTTCTCAGCATCTATTTATAAACTGCTCAAGTCAAAGATTATCCCTGTTCTACCTGCGAAGACTGTACCTAGCTGGAGGGCACTCCTGTTCCCACTGGTTTCTTTGCTCCCGTACCCTTAACTCTCTCCCAAATCTCTACCACATACACACCTCCTCCTCCCTCAAAAAGGGAGGGAGAAAGGGTATTAAACTACCAGGCCTTGCAAAATAGTAATTAAGCAAAACAAGATTCACCTGGCACGCAAATATTCAAACCAAGAGTTTCTCATAAGGCATGTGACCCACTCCTCAAATACACAATACAAAAGACAAAGTTGAGTTATGTCACCCTTACTGAATTCACCTTCAGCCACAGGCCTTGAGAACTGGTTACCTAATTTGTAGTTCATGAAAGCACCTTTGTTCCATGTTGCTTGGGAGTGGAGTAGGGAGGTGGGGAGAGGTCAACTTTGTCATTTGTTAGGAGCCAAAAAGAGTAGGGGAACTGAATTTTTTTTTAATTGAGGTATATAGTCACTTTACAATGTTGTGTCAATTTTTGTTGTACAGCACAAAGGGGACTGAATTTGATAGTGACTAATATTATGTGCCAGGCAATGTGCTAGGAAGGAACTTTTACACTGATAGTTATTTAATGCTCATAACCATCTATGAGGTAGGCATAATCTGCACTGGACACATGGGAAAACTGTAGCTCCAAGGCTCACATGGTAAAGTCAGTATTCCAGTCAAAACTTCCTTACTCAAAATATTGGGATGCCTATGATCTTTCCACTACACTGTTTCTCTAAATCCAATCTTTGGGATTACAGCTACTCTGTTTCTCTAAAACAATTCCTTCCCCTAAAAGCACTAATACTTAGAACTAATCAGAGACCTGTTAATTAAAGGAGCCAAGGCCTAGAGTTATACTAGTTACAGCTGCTCCTTACTCGTTGTATTACTTTGGATAAGCCAATTTTCCTCTCTGACCATCAGTCACTTTTGGATGTGGCTGCTATCTGAGGTTCCTCCCAAGAATAAAAAACTTTGGGACCCCAAGATGTCCTCTGTGTTGTAAACACAAACACTTAGAGCTATAACAACATTGTCTAAAACGTATTTTCCAGAGCAAACTATTATGTAAATTTAATTCTATTTAGCAATATTAAAGCATTTTTAATGATTTACATTTTCATTTTACTAAAATTATCTGTATCGGGATTAATTCCTTTCTTTGTAAAATCTAATGAAGATTTACCCTAACCATTATCTGAGCTTTATTTCTTTTCAGACCATGTCACAAATTTCACCAGTTACTTTTCACCACTGGGAATATGCTTTTGTGGCTTTGATTTCTACAAACCTAGTTTTTCCTGGAGTGCTTAATCTTGGCTCTGGAGGTCTAGATGTAATCCTATAACGGACACAAACGTACATCACCTCCTACATCTGATGTTCAGAAAAGCTGGCCAAGCGCACCCAGTTTTGGTAAACCAAGTCTTAGAATATCGTCACGCTAAGAGAAGTTTGCTATCAAAATTTAACAACACTCTGACGTGACGTTTGTAGGTAATTAAGGAAATAATCACCTCTTCTTTCATTTGGACACACCCCGTCTCCTCCCACTGGGGGCAGCACTCGACCCGCTGAGGCTCCCTGCAGGCGCGCACCTCAGATCTTCCCGGAGTCCGGAGAGCAGCGGCAAAAGAGACCGAGGACTCCGGGAAGCCGGCGGCAGAACGGACCGAGGACTCCGGGAAGCCGCACGAAGCCCGGTGTTGCTTAACTGGGCCTGAGGGCGGGGCGGGCCCGGGGCCGCCTCCACCTCCAGGCCCGCCCTGCGCCACACCCGAGCCGCCTGCTCTCAGCTAACGGACCGCGGCTCCCACTTCAGCCCGCCTTCGCCCGCCAGCTCTCACCTCGCCCTGACCGCGGCCTTGCAGTCGGTGCCCTCCGGCCGCGGCGTGCCGCCCACCGCCTCCTTCACACCCTTAGCCCATCAGGCTGGCCCGGACCGGTCGCCAGCGGCCCAGGAGCAGGTAGGCGGCGGTGCGCATGCGCAAACCTTGACCAGCCCTTACCCCACCATTGGCTGCTGCTGAGCGACACCTACACTCGAATTGACCAATCCTGGTGCTCCTCCGCTGCCGGGTCCGACGGAGTCGTGAATGAGGAGCTTCTTAAAGGGCTGCGACCCAAATATAGAAGGGGCGTGGCTGGGGCGCGCCTCCCAACTTTCCTCTTGTCTTCCGGCTGTCACCTGCTTGAGTCTGAGGTCCAAGCCTGTAACTCCTACGTCCAGAGGTACGAGGAGACTTCGCTGTTTAAGCTCGATTCCTGCCGGGATTCTGGACGGGACTAACGTGTGGAGACAGGGAAGTTCCGAGTGACGGCGCGACACGCCCGGGGCGTGGGTTCAGCTGCGGCTGGGCTGGAAACGCGAGAAAGGCAAACCAAAGAGCATAGCCTCCTGCCAGCCTGGATGCGGTGCCAAAGTCCGACCCCGGAGGAACACAGCCCAGTCTGGGGGCGGACATCCTCACAGATGGATGGCTGGCTGAAGGGAAATTGGGAAGCAGACTTCGTCTATTTATTCATTCAACAATTTTAAGCACCTGCTGCGTGCCAGACATTACTGCAGGCACTGGGGACACAGAGAGGAAATCCTGACACTAAAAACTATGTTAAGTGAGGAGAGCAGAGTGAAAGCACCCATCCCACAATACACAACACGTATTTAAATACAAACTGAGCTATGTGCTCTTCTGAGAGGAGTACGGTTTTCAAGAGAATTTACAGGAGCTTCTGGTCTGGACTTGGGGGTCCAAGGAGGCTTCCCTGAGAACATGACACTGGATGATTAGTAACTAACTAGGCAGAGGGGAGAAGAATGTTTTTGACAGAGGGAACAGTATATATAAAGAACTTTGTGTGGACTGCAGCAGGGCTCCTTTGAAAAATGAAAAGCAACCCAGTGTAGGAGGTAGAGAGGGGAGGTGGATGGGGAGTTGATAGGGACAGAGTTTTAGTTGGGGAAGATGAAAACGTTTAGGAAATGGATGGTGGTGATGGTTGCACAACAATGTAAATATACTAAGTGTCACGGAACTGTACACATGAAAATGGTTAAAATGGTAAATTTTATGTTATGTATATTTTGCCACCAAAAAGGAAAAAGAAGAAACTCAGTTTAGAGAGTAAATGAGTTCAGTGAGATCCAGTAGTGAGAATGGAAGAGGCAAGACTATGTAGGATCTTGGAAGCCATGGTAGAGTTTAGGACAGAGGGAAACTGATTAAATTTGCATTTGGTAAAATTCACTTTGGCTGCTGATGTTAAGATCAAAGTGGAGAAGGCACATGGAAGCTGTGGTAGGATCAGTTGGGAAGCCAACGCAGTTGTCTGGGCAAGAGAGGATGAAGCTGGAGCCTAGGCTGGAGCGATGGTGATGAGAAAGAGAATTGGGTAGTCTGTAGAGAAATGTAGGGAAAAATCAACAGGAGGACTTGGTGATGAGTTGGATATGAACGGGTGATGAAGTAGCTTCAAGGATGATGCCATTGTTCAGCCTTGAATGAATGGACGGGTAGTGGAGGGATTCATAGTTATGCAGAACCTGGAAGAGGATCTAATTTTGGAGAGAAGATTGATCACTAGTTCTATCTTAGACAAGTTGAATTTGAGACACCATTGAGACTTCGGGTTGGGATGTCAATGTAGGCAGTTAAACATACAGATTGCAGTTCAATGTAAAGGTCTGGGCTGGACATAGACTTTTGAAAGTCCTCAGCACAAGGGTGGAAATTGAAGCAGGTCTTACATGGCCAGAGAAAAAATTACAAAATGACAACAGAAAAGATATAGAGTCCAAAATGACCTCCAGCAATCCCCACCTCCTGGTATTCACACCTTCATGTAGTTCCCTCCCACTGTGAGTCAGGGTTGGCTTGTTGACAAATGATCATGAGGCTAGGTCATCAAAGGCACAAAGGAGTAAAATGAGGAGATTTGGCTGGTAAAGGAGATTGAAAACTGCAATGTACACGACAAGAAAAGAGGCCAGGACTCCCTCTCTAAGTACATTCACATGGTTGGATAAAGACCTGTACTTCTCACCACAGGTCATGAAATACAAGACTCTGGCCTAAATAGGGAGGGGAAAATTGGTGCTAGACTCAGAAAAACCCAGAGCTTTCAAATGTGGAGACTTGGGCTCTCAGAACCTGGAATGTGAGTGCTTTAGAACAGGGCCTTGCACCCTCTAACTGGTACATGGTGTAGCTCAGGCATCACAATGGGTTGAGCAACAGGAGTTAGATGTGGTACATATAGTCCCAGCCCTCCTCTCCAATTATTGGTCCCTTTGGCTCTGGATCAGGGCCACCACTCAGAGAAATGAAGCTCTGGAAGGCAATATTGCCCTGAGACCCCTTTTGGGGTTCCAAAGGTCTTTCCAAGGTCTGCCTCCTAAACAAAGTGGTTACTTCTCACTCTGCACTGCACTACAGGGAAAACCAACCTTGTTCCCACGGTCACTATGTATGGACTAGACAAGAGAGAAGACAACCACTTCAGAGTTTTAGTAGTTGCCAGCAGTAACAGTGTGGCCCAGGAGGTTGGCACAGCTTCCTCCCTGTATCTTGCAGTAAACCAACTCCGCCATTGGTGCACAGGCAGTGTAGGGTAGTGGTTATGAGTGAGAGTTCAAAAGCCAGACTGCCTCTGTTCAGATACTGGTTTTCCCCTTAGGAACTATGAGACCCTGGGCAAGTTACTTAACTGTTTTCCCAACTGTAAAAAGGAGAAAATAATAGTGCTTTTTTAGGGTTGTAAATCTGATAGGCATTATTACTGCCCAAAGGAAAAACAGGCCTATATGCGAGTTTCTTCCTCAGCAAAGAGTAAAGCTGACACCAGTGTTTCCCTTGGGCCTGCAGGGTTCGACTTGGCAGGAGGCAATGCCCAGGGTTCACGCTCTAGACACAGGTCTGGAGTCACCAGAGTGATGTCGAAAGAGTTGCGGACTTAAAGCTAGATATCCAGGTTCCTTGATTCCTGTGGGACCCAGGCAAGGTGCTCCCGCAGACTGACAGTGCCCTGAGCTGAGGACGAGCCCCGCCCCTGAGGTTAGCTTTCCAGACTGCGCAAACGCAAAAGATCCACAAACAGCTCCAGAACCCCAGGGGCGGGGCCTCGGAGGGACGCTGAGCATCGCTCTTGCGCACCCAATCACAAGTGACGTTCCGCCTGTTCCCCGCCCCATGGATGGGCGGGCCCGATCAACGTTGAGAGCGTAAACTTACCTATCGTGGGTTCGCGCTGCGGCCGTAGCGCGTCTGGAGCTGCTGGCTGGCTCAGGTTTAGGTTCGCAGAGGTCTGTTGGACCTAAGGCCGTGTTGCAACCTGGCTTCCCGGGATGTCTGTGGCCTTCGTACCGGACTGGCTGAGAGGCAAGGCGGAAGTCAATCAGGAGACGATCCAGCGGGTGAGCGCTAACGCGGGCTGTAGAGTTCCCGAAAGGCTGAGGATGCTAGAAGCTTCCTGGAGCAGCTGAGACTGGTCGTGTGCCTAGAGTGACTCGCAGGGGGATGGAATGAGATGGGAATGAAGTCAGCAAAGGCGCTGGAGCTGGAAAGCCTAGCATTGGGGCGGCGGTGGGGAGGGAGGGCATTGGTCCCTGCCGTCCTGATGTCGTGCTGCACTCACCGTTTTTGTCTGACCTTTCAGCTCCTGGAGGAGAATGATCAGCTGATCCGCTGTATCATGGAATGTCAGAATAAAGGCCGGGCAAATGAGTGCGTCCAGTAAGTCCCCTCCCTATTCCTCTGACTTTTAAGTGGGGGGGGGAAGGGAAGCCAGTGAGATGATGCAGCAGCTGATATGATAAAGGAGTCTTGGGCGATTAATCGCAGATGAGGCTTAGTTATAGTAAGTGTGCATTGAACATGGGAAGTGTCTTGTCCCTTCTTTAAGTTCAGCTACTGGGGAATCAGTACCAAAACAGATACCAGCTCTGTTTTCATGGAATTTACATTCTAGACTCTAGAATCATACAATTAGGCACATACTAATAAGTGCTTTGAATAAGAATAAAACAGGGTAAGTGGGGAGAAGAGTGCTAATTTACACAGGATGTGACATTTGAGTATATGTGTTAGGTGATGGAGGCAGCTAGGCAGATATGTGAATCAGAGAAAGCATCAGGTGGAAAAGCCCCCAGGCTGGAGCCTGCTGGATATTTTCAAGTCACAGTAAGGAGGCCACTGTGGCCAGAACTCAGTGAGTAAAGGGAAAGTGGTTAGAGATGAGATCAGAGAGGGTAACTGGAGGCCCTGATCATGTAGTGCCTCATAGGCCACCAGAAGGGCTTAGGTTTACTCATAATGAGATGGGAGCCTTTGGAGGGTTTTGAACAGAAGTATGATATGATCTTGACTTAAATTTTAGTGATCACTCAGGATGCTATGTGGAGAATTCGAGTCAGGGTGCAGAGCTAGAGCTGGGAAACCAGGAGACTGTTCCAATACAGTAGTCTAAGCAAGAATAGATTGTGGCCTGGACTAGAGAGGTAGCTGTGGAAGTGAGAAGAGAGAACAGGTAAGATTCTGGATCTGTTTTCCTTGCAAATGTTAAATAAGATGGTTGATAACATTGAGTCATCCAATCAGTGGATGAGCCATTCACTAGAGTGGGTAAATTCTTTTCCAGTTTTTTGTTCATGTTCAGTAAAAACAAGCCTCTAATTTTTACCTGTTTTTCACCCATAGGTACCAGCATGTGTTACACAGAAATCTCATTTATTTGGCCACCATCGCAGATGCCAATCCAACAGGTGCTTCAAAAGCAATGGAATAATCTTCCAGTTGGTTGGCTATTGTAAGAAAACTGAATATAATCTACTTCCTATGAAATGGAGACAGGATCTTTACCAACTCAACTGCTTAAAACATGAATGAAACCTCTGTGGCTCTTTTAAAAATGAGAAAATGTGAAGAAAGCTACTAAATTAACTGTATTCTCAGTGTAAATATTTAAGTTAATAATTAAGTGGACTCCCTCAATTAAGTTGACTCCAGATGTCCTCCTTCCTGAAATAGGTGTGTTTGGACAACAAAGACATGGGCATCTTCAAGTCTGCCTTTTTAGTTTCAACCTGAAGAGGAAACTGAGAAGGTGTTGGGCAATCAGCAGGAACTGACAAGACTCTGGACTGAAACCCTGCCAAATGGACGTGTAACTGTGTGCTCCCTCCTACCAGTTTGTGGTTGTGGACCCCCGACTGTTCTTTTCAGGTTGCTTTGAAATAAAGCTTTCCTATCCACAGAAGACTGATATGAGGTATAGAAATTTTCATGTAATAAGCCTTTAGTTTTTGAGAAAAACTGTAAGAAGTTAAAAATTTATGTAATACCACCATTATTCTGGCTAACAAAATTAATAGTAATTCTTAATTATTATCTAACATCATCTAATAATAGAAGATATGACAGGGGAGGAAAAATATGTTTTTCCTTCTATCCTTTTAAGGTTGTCAGCTGAGGCTTTATAACAAAAGACAGATTAACAAAAGAAAAGCATATATATTTAAGTCTTCCCTGACATGGGAGCCTTCATAAGGAAATGAACTCCCC